TCTTTTGGTGTGCTTAATATTAAAAATGGTGTTAAATTCTGTGAAGAATTGGTCTGGTATATCCATTTTGTGTCAGAACACGTATACAAGCAATCAGAAAAACCTCCAGATGTTGGCTTTCAGTTTAATAACCATTAGCTCACTACAGGCCTCATCTATGCTGGAAGCACTTCCTGCCTGATGTGCTCAATCCTGCTGCCCAAGCCCATCCATTTTATTATTCCAGACACAGCCTTAGGGACAGTATTCCTAAGAGAATACTTGCAAAAACACATGCTGTTTTCCACTTTCAGTCCTCCCCAATAGCAGAAGTATTTTAGCAGCTGCTGTTATGAGCTGTCAGCTCAAGAGTTGGTTATTTCTACTGTGTGTGCAGCCATTTGAGTCATATATGGAGTCAGGAGTGTGTATGAACATGTGAGAGGTGCACTTAGAGACACTCCTCTAGGATTGCACGTGCTTAGATCTGGCCCACTGAGTTGTACAATTACCTATTTTGAGCTCACAGCACATTCTGAAATATACTTCACCCTTTGTACAGCTCAGTAGAACTCGGTGTTTGAATTTGTCCCTTCAGTGCCCTAACTCAGCTTTAAATTTCCTGGGCTTTTTTGCCATGACATTTTTTTCCCTTTTCCTTTAAAAATAAAATGCAACAAAGCAATTCGAAAAGAAATCTGATTTTCTGTGAAATTTTACAGATTTCTCGAAGGGAAAAAAAAAAGCAATATAGTAAGTCAAGACAAAAATGCAGCAAACCACCTCAGGTAAAAAAATGTAATTCTCTGTAATGTATTTGAGGTAGCAGTGCTGTGAGAAATTTGACTTTCACTCTAGTGCAGCTGATTTACCCACAGTATACCATCAGCATCTGATGGAGAAGAAAACAACTTAATCAAACTTTTTTTTTCCATTTGGGTCAGCACAGGAAATTTCCTGAGGGAAAATGTTTTGTTCTTCATAATTATTTTGGTTTATATACTGAAGATTGTTTATAGGGTTGAAGGACTTCCTTCTTTACTGCTACAGAAGAGCCAGGATAACAGGGTAAGAGTTACTGCAATGGCTTTAATCTGAATATTCCTTCCTCATGGGAATCATCATGAATCTACAACCTGGTTGCCTGAGCTAGAGATCATTTATAATCTCTGATTATTAAATTTTATATTTCTAGACTCCCTTGGAGTAATGTTGCTTCCTGCATGTATTTTAAAATTATGAATATACAATAAAATATGGTACTAGGAGATCAAATTAATCACAAGCAATGAAAAAAATTTTGTGTAAGAGTAAAGCTTGAATCTTTATAGAGTGTTGAGATGGGTTTTTTACTGCTATCATATTTATGTCTTTTAGCACTGTTGTATATAGTACTAAAATTTTCATCACATACGTTTTTTGTCCACAGAGTTCAGGTTAGCCACAAAAAAAAGAAAAAACTTCAGTGAAGACAAATTTAGACACAGGAACATTTAACCAGAGTAATGAATTGTAGGCTTTTTAACAAAATGTCAAAAATAGGATAATAGCTGTAACTGTAACACATGGGGTTATCTCTCTATATATACACACTGTACTATGTTACACAGAGAAGGAAACCTATAAAGCTTATTTGGCCTTCAGCCCCACAAAAATATTCACTTGCCCATTGAAAAGAAGGTTTTTTTTCTTTTCAACATTCCTCTTTTTATTTTCTCTTTACAAAGTAAATCAAATATTAGTGATATGTTGCCAGTAAGCAAAAAAACCAACCTTATTGTGCTCACCATTGCTCACTTGCCACCCACTGATGCAAAGTTTCTCAACAGAAATTTAAACTGAGATGATATTTTTTGAGAGAAGCACAAGAATTATTTAATATTAATAATATTAACATTAATAATTGTAGTCCAAAATTTCCTAGAATTTGAAAGTTCTGTGAACTGAAACTTTTTCATTGTGGGTAACCTTTAACCTTTTACACAGGTTTAAAATATTTAATTATATATACTGGCTAAACAGGATTTTTTAAATTTGTGTTCTTGTAATATTATGAAAAAATATATTATTAAGATTTCATGTTAAAACTCGAGTAGGAAATGCTTTTGAAAAGCTTCTAAATTTTAGCTAAAAGAAATGGTTGCATTTGAAGTTACATTTCTGGTTCCTTTTTTGGAGTTCTAATTTTAAATAGGACTGGTTTAGGTGTTATGTAGAATTGAATTTTTGTCAAAGCAAAGTGCAGTAAAGTGTTAAACCACTTTTTAAGATGTATTATACTTTGCTGAAAACACTCCTTTCTGTGATTTTACTGAAGATGAAACGGATTAGCTACTAAATTGTGGTTTAAGAATAAGGTCAAGGATATCGAACTCACCAAAAAAAATTTCTGAATATTAGTGAAAAATTGTTTCTAGGCAATTCTGTAGTTTTATTCAGTTTCCAGTTACTTTGGGTAGATTTTTTTTTTTACTTTTTCCCCTTATGTTTTGACTTCTGCAAATTTCACTTCATTGCAAGAGTTAAATGTTCATTCCTAATTTTGGATTTGCTTAATTTGCACTGATACATCAAAGCTGGTTTGTATAAATTTTAGGAATGCTGATAAATAACTCCAGTAGTTCCTTGGCACAGGACATGTAAAAAACATTGGGCAGTGTCATAAAAGAAGTTCTGCATTGAATACATCCCACCTGGATTCCTTGGAAGTGGAATTCAAAAATTTTTAGATAGTGTGTGGCTCATGTTGAAAAGGAAACACAGCCCTGTAAAACTCATAATCTTTTGTGATTTGTGATTACTTTCATTACCCTTGGGAGTGTGGCATTAGAAGAATTATACTTTTATTCAAAACCTTAGTTTGTCTAAAATAATGCCACAGCTAATGCTGACTGACAAGATATTTGAGACAGCAACCTTCTTTAACATAAGGATTTTTAAAAATCCTTTTAAAGAGTAAAGTACATTTTGAGACCTTAAATTAAAGGTAAATATAAAGTTCTTACCATTCATGGATTTCCTGGTTCTTTTTTCACTTATGAAAGAAAACAGGGCACTGAATTTTACCACTTGCAGGTGAATGCAGAAGGAAGTGGGAGCCTGGCCACCATCTGAAAGTGGAGTATTTTCATATCTACACTCTGATACAAGTGCAGATGGCATCTGGCACACCTGATGGAACTCCTTGATTAAAAATGCATAGGTTAACAGCTACATATCTTTTGTACCTGTTAAAGTCACAGACCTGGGTGATAGGAACACTGTGTGGCTCAAAAATGAGTGAAACCCTAAGAACCCTGCAATAGCAAAAATCTCCAAAGCACTGGTGTACAGAAGAGGTTTACATTAGATGCATTAATTACCTGAACATGAGCCAGCAGTGTGCCCAGGTGGCCAAGAAGGCCAATGAATCCTGGCCTGGATCAGGAACAGTGTGGCAGCAGGACCAGGGCAGTGATTCTGCCCCTGGACTCAGCACTGGTGAGGCCACACCCGGAGTGCTGTGTCCAATTCTGGGCCCCTCAGCTCAGGAAGGATATTGAGGGGCTGGAGCAGGTCCAGAGAAGGGCAATGGAACTGGGGAAGAGTCCAGAGCACAAGTCCTATGAGGAGAGGCTGAGGGAGCTGGGGCTGTTCAACCTGGAGAGGAGGAGGCTCAGGGGAGACCTCCTCACTCTCTACAACTCCCTGACAGGAGGGGGGAGCCAGGTGGGTGTCAGGCTCTTCTCCCACATAACAAGCAGTAGGACAAGAGACCACAGTCTTAAGCTCTGCCAGGGGAGGTTTAGGTTGGACATTAGGAAGAAGTTCTTTACAGAGAGAGTGATCAGACATTGGAATGGGCTGCCCAGGGAGGTGGTGGAGTCACCGTCCTGGAGGTGTTTAAGAAGAGACTGGATGTGACATCAGTGCCATGGTCTGGTGACAAGGTGGTGTCGGGTCACAGGTTGGACTCGATGATCTCAGAGGTTTTTTCCAACCCAGCTGATTCTGTGATTCTGTACAATGAGAGTGAAGGCAGGACAACGATTACAAAAGCAAATATTACAGTGAACTGCCTCTGGAATTGGAGTGCAAATATTTGGGCTTGTGTTTATGGACTAAATATCCTCTCACCTGAGACCACACTCAGCATTTGGCCTTGTCTGTAGGTTTGCACAAGGGACTTGCTGATTTTCAGTCAGCGATGGAAGCACACCATAACAGGGGTTTTATGCAGATTAAAAAAATCAGTGTCTTTAACTTCTCATGTCTCTTCTAGTGCAGTCTGCATCCATGGATCTGACTTTCCATTTACCTTGGATGGGACCTGCACACAGGACACTTTATCATAAATTTATATCGTTGCGCAACAGTTATTCAAGTGTTGCTCAGAGTACAACTGGGAGGATGAACATTTTGAGGACAAGGAAATTCAATAAAAGTTGTAGCTGAAAATTAATTTCCATGTCTGTAAAATTTTAAAATAAAATTAAATACTAAGGATTATCTTCTTAAGTGAATTGATGGATTAACATATCTTATGAAAAGGAAGCTCAATCTAATTTAAAAGACTCTAAAGACAGCTCACATAATAACATCTTCTTTTCTTGGAATCTGATTCTAACTTGCGAATTATGAAGGGAGTCTTCTTGTCTCTCGTAGAAATATTGTGCATTCTTTTCTATCCAAATGACTGGGAAATTAATCTTCAATCTATGTGACAATATATTTTACATATCTGGTATCATACCTTGTTGTTGAATAGTTTAGACTTCAGCGAGCTAAGAGAAAAAATAACACCACACCAAGGTACTAAAGGAACTTCGCTGTGTGAATCCTGGGATTAGGGAAGAACAAAGGAGTGATGAACATATGCCACATTTTTACTCTGATTTTCTTTGTAGACAGATGATGAAATACATTTTCCAGCAGAAAATTCACAGTATTTTAGGTAACTCTGACTATTCTCAGTTTAAATTAATTAAAATTCTGTATTAAGTGCAGAGCTGTAGATCATCCTCTGTGATCATGTCTTGGGCTGTGTTGCATTTTAGAAATGACTATTCCATCCCAATTGTTGTAAGCCTGGCTTTTTTCCACCCTGCTGTCTCATGAGTTTTCTGGCTGCATTCGTCAGTTCATTTGCTTCCTTCTCTTCCTTCCCAGTCTGTCAGCAGGCTTGCAACATTTTCATTTCTGGTAGCTGCATTTCTTAGATTCCCCTCAGTGTTCAATCTGTTCTGCATCCATTTTGCCATGTTCTGTGCCGAATTTGTAATTGTGTCTACAAATAGTAACCGACAGTTGGTCAGTTGGAAAACAGGACAACAAAGAAATTATGATGACATCAGTTTAATGTACTTTAAACAAAAGAGACAAGTGATATCTAGCATAATTTAATATTAAAGTGTTTCATTTATTACCAGAGTATTGAATTTTCTGAGTAAATTGTGAAAATTTGATTTTTGTAAAATATTGATAACTTGCAATTCAAATTGCAATCTCTGTCTTTAAACTTGTGCCAGCATCTGTAAAATATCCTCAACTACATCCAACCTGAGATATCATGACCCGAGTTATCTGAGTGTGGGTTTGCTCCAGTCTCCCATGTCCACATCATCAAAATGAGGCTTTTTTATTGCCAGTGTATGTTTGTATTGCTCTATCAGTTGAAGATGGTTTGGGACTTGCATGTCAGCTCAGCATATCCTGTCATCAGTGTGTTATCTTAGTGCAGGATTGAAGTATCATGCTACTCTGAGCACTGGAGTTCTTTTTGTGATGCTCATATTCATAATATCAAAATTTTAAACTTGTACAGTATGTAACAGTTCATATCTTCACAGCATTTTAGACACTTTAAAAAGAAAATAATTTCTGCTTTCACAACAATACCAATTTTGTATTTCAAAACAATACCAAGATGACCAACCCCCCTGAAACAGAACTTCTTGGCCTTCCTCTGTGCAAGTACATACTGAAAATAAATCTGCTCTTTTCCAAACAGCAACAATTTGGAAAGAGAGATGTTTGTCTGTTTAGCACAGTGACACTGTAGGATGGCATCTACTTTTGCAATCTGAAGTGCTTTTTATTACAACTCTGCATTTGTGTTAAGAATTTGCCAGCAAATTAATACTGAAGTGTTCCCTTGGAAATTTTATTAAAAAAAAAAAAAAGAAAAGGATATGCTCAGATTGTTAGTTAGGAAGAGTTTTTGCATGAAAGCTGGAAATGTTCATTAGAGCAACCACTTTAAGAAATAGGACTTAGTATGAGTGAATCCCTTTTTTAGGTCATGTTAACCAGGTCATATTACATGTGTCAGTCAGGAGTCATTAGGAACAACTAGTTTTGGACAGAGGATGAAGAACTGAAAATAACTACAGATGTTGGCAACTAGTCTGACACTGCTCTAGTTTAAAGATGAAATCTGCACTGAAGGGGACAGTACAGGGATTTTGAAAATGCCATCATTTGAGGAGAAAAAGGGATTCTTTTCAACAGATAATAAATGATTTCTTTAAAGTTTGTGAATGATGAGGTCATCTCATCTTGGTGTATATTGCTGTTACTTTTTTATCTTATCTATGACTTCACTGCCAAATATAGTCATGCATCGGGATTCTAGTTTTTATTCTGATGGCTAAAGCAGATAAAACACATCATGCAAAATGTTTCTCAGATGTCCCTAGTACTTCAGAAGAACTGCATCTATAATATAGCTAAATTGTCAGAAAAACCACTAAAGATTATCACTGTAAGTGATACAAAAGTGCATGGAAGTCACATAGGACAATTGGTAAAATTGATGCAATATAGATTAGACTGTTATTAGTCATAGTATTTTAGCTTACAGTGGAATATACTGGTATGAAAAGTACACAAGGGTGTTTTGCTGCAATATTAATTTCAACAAAGCTTAGTAGCTGAGTATATTTTCAATATAAATTTGATAGACCAGCTGTTATTTGGGATACAGTTTGCATAGAAAAATCAATAAAGAATGATGGTAAAGGTTTAGCATAGTATTGTTTCAGATAGAGTAGGTGATAAAATACACAATAGAAATCTTTCAGATCAGTAAAATGGATCATATGATAGGAAACTCCAGTTGATTTTGGCACAGTGCAGTTAGTTATAAGTTTGGAAGTTTGGTCCACTGATAAATTTAAGAGATTATGAAATTATTAGAACAAATGTTAGAAATGCAAATGCGGGTCCTTTCTCCTAACATAAAAAACCATCCAAATATTCCCATGCTGAGGGATATGATAAAAAAGACTATCAATTTTGCATGAGGTAAGTTGCAGGTACCTTGAAAGGCAGGATCTTGACAAACAGCCTTTTTCTGTCACAAAACATTCCTTATGTGAGGCTGTTGAGATAAAAAGTTGAATCAATGGATGGACCTGAGAATGATGAAACTTTACATTTATTCTGCTCATTGATAGCACAGGAAGGAAAGGGAAGAGAATGAGGGCAATTTTTGGAAGCAATCTTCATCCGTTAGACAGAAAACTATCTTAATATATTATTTATAAAAGTTTTCCCTTTATAAGGAGATGTGGGGTTATGGTCAGTTAAACTGTGTAGTTAGGTCAAAAAGTATGGCAAGAAACTATCTACTTTTAAGTAGTAGATGTATGTTCAGGTGCATAGTTTGCATACATGAATAAAAGCAGTCACTTTGCTGATATAAATTGTGCCTCACTACTGGCTTTGCAAATGTAACTCTGTCAGTAGAGTTTTACCAATAAAGACTTCAAATGACAGCTCTTCAAACTACAGTTGTGATGTTTAGTATTGTGTATGTATATATATATATATATCTCCTTGAAATGTATAAATTCTGTAATAGAATGCTTATATTTTGCAGGTGGTTTGTTTAAGTTGCAATCTCTCCCTGACCCACAGAAAATGAATTGTTTACACTGAGCCTGCAAATAATTCTGATGCTGCTATGAAAAGAAGCAAGACAATGAGAAATGGGATACAATCACTGCATACCCCATTTAATTTAAAAGCCAGTAGAAGTTCCCAGTGTTCACATTAGCTCTACTTTCACCTTCAGAAAATTTACTCTCGCTGCTTCACCACCTTTACCTACAACAGATGAAATACAGCAGAATTTTTAATAGGGTTTTACCATACGTGTTTTATGGAGTTCAGGAAGAGCTATTAAATAATAAAATGAGTGGACACTTACTGTAAAGAAACAAAACCACCACGTTTGTTTTTGTTGCAGCATGGAATTGTACCAGCTGTATGTTTGTTGAGACAGGAAAACAAGAAATCTACCGTGGAAAAAGTGTGCATAAAGGCCACAATTGATTTAATAGAAGTAAAGGGAAAGGACATTTATAATTAGTTCCTGCAGTGAAAGGCAGCTCCAGTGGCCAAATCCAGAAGATTGACATTAATAGAAACATGACCAGAAAGGTCATATACGTGTGTGATCTCTTTCATTGGTGTGGATTACACAACTAAGGAAACCTTTAAAGCACATATTAGTAATTTCAATATCTTGTAACTGTAAAAAGTTCTGATATAGTGATGGTTGGTCTTTGTTGGAGTACTAGAATTTGTTTCTGTTCAAGTTTCCCACTTGCTTTTAGATGTCTCCTACAGGAAAGTTAATTCTCCGTGCTGAAGAGATGTAAGTGAACTAAGCTGCAACAAAGATTTTATTTGGTTTCACAGATTACAGTTAACCCACTTTTCCTGTTGTCCTTCCAGCTATCATTTGTCACCTTATAAGTGAAATGGCAAAAATGAGTTATGAGAAATGATTTAAGTGCTAGATAACCTAAATATTTGTGGAGACATACAACAGTAGACACACTAACAGGGAAAGATGTGCAGAGTTCTGATATGATTTAAACAAAGAAATAATAATAAAAAAAGATGTTTAGATAGCAATGACATGATCAGAACAAGAGGCAGTTAATTACAAAAGGCTTTAAACAGTCATTTTGCATAGTGTCATAAGTTTACATGTTGTAAAAACCAAGTGGGGGATTTTTCTTTCCCCTGCATTGCTGTAAAAGAAAGATGTTGAACAAGGGAGGGGGAGGGTGGTTGGCTAGGGTGGTTGACACACACTAAAGAAGTAGCAGCCTTACAGTCCGAGCTAATGGGCCTCAGAAGACTGAGGAGGGGGGTTGGGGGGTGAGATTTTTTCTCTCCTCAGGAAATGGCAGGGACTTCACTTTTGCCCTGACTCAGAGAGGGGGGGTGTGTGTGGAGGGGTTCTGAGGTTCATTTTGGTTTTGGCCTGGTCACCTGGCTGCTTCTGGCCTCGGTTTGCCACCGTTTTCCTGTGCCCTGTTCTGCCCCCAGCCCGGACTGGCTTGGACTCCATTGGAGAGGTTTGATCCACTGCAGAGGAACCTTGGAGGGAAGAGGCCTCCCCTTCCCTCCTCCGCTCCCGTGTGGCAGCGGCTTGTGTCCATCAGCGAAAGGGGGGAAATCCCGGCCACAGCCAGCTGCAGACAGCGTGAGTCCATAGGAAGAGCCCCTTTTTCCCCTTTTCCCTTCCCCCTCTGGGTGGGGGTGAATCCCCATTTTTGGCTCTCCCGTCACCGAGGCCCCACACGCCAGAGCCCGACAGCGCCCCCTGCTGGCCAACGCCGAGCACAGCGCCCCCTGCTGGCCGTGGTTAGAACTGCGCCAAAAGGCAGAAAGTACCAAACTGGGTTTTTTTGGAGGGAACTTTGGGTGCAGGATTATTGTTAAGTTGGTTTTGGTTCTTTTGTTGTTCTGCCAATGCACATATATACTTTAATAAAGGGCTGTTATCTTTTCTTTCTCCATACTTCCTCAGCTGGAGCCTCTTAATTTGGAATTTACCATTGCTTGGAGAGTCTTCCTCATGACTCATCCTCCTTAGCAAAACACTTCAGTCTCATTAAACTGAGACAACAGACTGAAATGGGCTGGTAGAACTGAGTCCCTAGAACTCCTAAGAGACGAGTTCCAAAAGTCAGGAGAGAAAGGATCATGTCCATGATCTTTAGGGAAGAGATCAACATTTGAATATGGTCAGATGATTCCTGAGTGACAGATCCTTTCACTGTTGAGAGGAAATGGCATATTCTGTTTTGACAATGCTAAGATTTGTGAAGGCAGTGCCAGTAGGTCAAACAAGAAAACTCACAAAATCATAAAAACATAGAATAATTTAGGTTAGAAGGGAGTTTTGGGAGTCCAACCTCTTGCTCAAGCAAAGCTGTTTTTAAAGGTAGACCAGATAACTCTGGATTTTTTCCCAGGAAAATTTGGAAGATATTTTCAAGGAAGGAGATTCCTCGGTCTCTGGGCAGCCCAGCTCTGCACTTGACTCTCTTTGTTGTGAACTTTTTTGTTTCCTTTACACGTGACCAGAGTTTTCATTGCTTCAAGCTGAAGAAGTTTGCTTGTGTCCTTTCATTGTGTTCACAGCAGTCTAGCTGTGACTTTTCTGTGACCAGATTAGCTGCAAACATCATGGGAGGTACCCCCCTGAAGTGTTCTTTTGTCAGGCTGAACTCAGCTTTTCCTTACACCTTATGTGCTCCATTCCCTTCACCATCTTACTGAATCCCTGTTAGAATTACCCCAGTAAGTCAATATTGCTTTTTGCTGGCAAGTCACATTCAACCTGTTGTCCACCAAGACTCCCCATCCTTTCTGAAGGCAGTTTCCTGGCCAGTCAAGCCCCAGTTTTTACCACCACATGGTCATGCAAGATTTGACTCTTACCTTTGTTGAACTTGCAGAAGTTTCTGTTGGTCCATTTCTCAAAATCTCTCTGAATTAGAGCTCTGTGCTCCATATTATCATCCTATCCCTCTAAATGAGTGTCATATGCAAAATAGCCAAGGGTTTATCCTAATCTATCCATAGATACGGTGGCAAACCATGACAAAATCCTCAATAAAGTCAAGGTAAACCGTGACCACTGCTCTCCCATCGATCAGGTGAAATTTGCCCTTGGTAGATCTGTGTTCTCAGTCACATACTTCTCCTTCACGAATCTTCTTCTGAGAAATCAGAAGACCTGCCCCAAAATTTCACTCAGGGCATGAACAAAAAGTGCCAAAACCTACCACAATTATATTTCCAAACGCTATAAGGCTCATGAGGTCTTTAAAATCCTAATATCCTAAACAAGTGAAAGAGACTTTCAGTGTTATTATTGTTGCTAATAGTATTATACATGTGAATAGAAAACCAAATATTTATGGAAATTAATATATTGAGGTTAATACAAAGATATAAATATGGATATTGCTATGATGGCAACATTTCTGGAGAAAACCTTGGCAATCTTAATGAGCATAGTCCAACATGCTTTCAAATGTGGAGTCTTTGAGGATATGGGATTTTAATAACCTCTGTTATGATAAAATTTATTGCTTTTAAAATATTGGAATTTTAGGGGGATTGATAGGTTTTATTTTATTAGATTTTTTGATATTTGTGATTTTATTTATGTTAATTTATAGAAGACAAAATTATTCTGCTTTGTATTACTATTACAAAATACATGGGTTAAATAAATTGTATAAATGCAATGGATTTTGTAGTTATTTTGTAGGGCAAGCATAACAAAAATCATATGATGAGTATCTTTTTTTCATTCTACCCGTGATTATGCCACAAGTCAAAAGCTATTTTGACATACTTTTCATTTCATATCCTTCTGTTCTTTGTGTTTAATGAGAGTCTTGCATGTTATTCCCCGCATGTGAATTCTGAAAGATGAAAGGATCAATGCATTCCGCATCAGTGGGTAACTGAACCTACTCAGGAAATCAAAATAGAATTATTTTTATCTATGAAACACTTGTCCTCTGTATTATGATTCAGGTTTACTCATGTGGTTTGCTCCTCAGTCATTAGAAGCCATGAAATGATTAGTGGCATTTATCAAACCAGTCACACTCCACTGGAAACACCAGTGTGCCTGGAGGGAACAAGGAGCCTCTCTGCGAATTATTCTGTGAGGCACTGCAAAAACAAAAAGGGAATCCACAAATGAAACATCACCTGAGACCTTCAATATGAAAAAAGTAATTCCCGGGTGCACTAAAAACGTGGCCTTGAGAAAAAACAGCAAGTTCTTTTTTGGATGAATGCTGATTAGCTGGGTGCTTCAGAAGAAAGACAGTATCTTTCGTTTCCTGATTATATCCTCATCCAAAGAAACTCTCCTTTGAAAAGAAAAGTGACTTCCTTAAAGAAGTAATCAACTTCTGTATTAACTATATGCTTTCTACCAGGAAATGGAATTTTGGTCAGTTCACTCTGTTAGGAAAACAAATGCTGACATTAAGAATTGTTCATACAGTTAAATATTTCCCACTTGAATTTTATGATCAAGGAATAAAAGTAATCTAACTAAAATTACTATTTTGAGGATATGGATACTGAAACTTCATTTTACTAAAAATGCATTGGGACACTTGGAGATGCTGGGGGTTTTTTTCCGGTAAAGGAGTAAGTTATATGTAAAATATGTCATTAACATACAAATAAGACCTGAAAACTAGAATACTCAATTTCAGTTAATCTGAAGGTTTTTCCATGGCCAATGTCAGGACATTGACGTGACCTATTCAGTCCCCTCTCCCTGCTATTTTCAATTCTTTGGTGTCTAGTGAGACACTGGCATATGGATTTCTGAAACAAATAAAAAGACATTTTAGTTCAGCGTTAATATGTATTCCTGCAGGCATAAACAATTTTACTGTGGAAGATTTAGGGAATGAGATAGAAATAAAGACCTTATAGATCTATAAGGTCTTAAGACCTATAGATCTTATAAACCTTTTAAGATCTAATAAAGATCCAACTGGAAGTTGGATGTAAGGCTGTTGTACAAAATGCTGAAGCTCTAGATTATGTAAACCAAAACTAAAATGTGGGGTCATTGTGGTCATTAATCCCTTTCTCCTACCTGAAGTATTTTTTGTACTTGATGAGCAGTTTCCAAATAAAAGTTCATTGAGCCATAATGTTAAATGAATCTGTGTAAGCTCTTGTAAAATTTATGCGTTTCATAGTCAACACTGAGTAAGTACATGATTTGAACTGTAGTACCTAGAGGAATTTTAAATTTAGGTAGACGTTTGTGACTTCCTACGTGGAGATCGAAGTGAGGTTTAAACTGCGATGTGAGTTACTTCACAGCCTGTCCAATTGCTGTGAGAGAAAACAAAATAGGTATTGATGAATTTGAAGTTCTGGTAGCATTTCAGAAAAGAAGAGTTGGATTTTTTTAGTTTCTCTATGTTGGTTTTGGTATCCCCACTGTGGTTCTGCATCCATCTTGGGATATTATAGTCTAGATGACTTGTTGGCCTCAGAGGACTCTACGTAACAAACCCCAGAGCTGTATGTTTTGAATGCACTGTTGTCCTGCTTTGAGCTAAACCTGGGACTAGATCACTTCCCAAAGTCTCTTCCACCTTGGATAATTCTTTAATTCATATATTAGAGACAAAAATACTTCTACCTGCACTAATCATTTTGATTTAAGGCCATGTCATTAAATTTATGTGATGCCATGACATGTAGTGTTCAAAGTTTTGCAGATACCTGAATGAATACATAAAATAATTCAAACATATTTTGACCCAGGGGTTTAACAGCATTCAGGAACAAACAGCTCATTTAAAAAATATGATATATGACAAGTTGCTTATTTTTTCTATCTTTGTAAAACATTTTCTAGTTAACAAACCTGTTTGGGCTTTTTCTTATCAAAATGTCTTGATATAAAGCTTGTATTCATTATCTTTCATAAAAAGGAATGCAAAGTTGAAGCATTAAAAAAGGCAAAACCTGACACTTAAGGGTTTTTTCTGCACTAAAAATCCACATTACTGAAGCAAAGCTGTAATGTAAGTTGCTGCCTTGATCAACTTAAGATGCTTTTGGCATTTTGATTGTAAATAGTGTCGTAAAATGGAATTCCTGAGAAGAATGAATCTCAGATGAAGTGAATTTTTCTCTATTCTCTATAACCTCACAAGACCGATTTTTTTTTTCTGCAATATAATCTCAAGTTTGAGGCTGTGATACATCTCCTGTGAGCTTTGACTGTGTATTAAAGCATCAGTTAGGAAGATTTGCTGAGGTTTTATTATTACCTTTATTAAGTTACTAAATTTCTCAGCTAGTTCTCTAGAGGAGAATCTTAGTGCACCTACAGCAGCATAGCTCGTTGTCTTGGGAGATACATTCCCCTCCTGCCTTCCATGGATTTCTCCTCTGTGACTCCAAAGGGTTCAGCACACCTGATATTTCCTTAAAGCAAAAAGGGTTTAACCTTTCAGGCTTCCTGAGGTGAAGATAGTGCTG